GCGTAACCGACGCAGCAACGTAGACCGGTGGTTGGTAGTTTTTGCGGTACAGAGACAATTATATTAGCGAGTTTACCCGGCGGATCGATACTGCACAGCCACTGAGTCAAGGTGAGCTTTCTCGCTCTCCCTCTCTTTCCCCTTTCCCGTTACTCTTCGTGTCTCTGTCTGCCTTGCCTCGCCTCGCCCTGCCTTGCGGAGCTTTGCCTCGCCTTCCTATCAGAGAGCAGCCCCCTTCTTCTTCTTCTTCTTCTTCTTCTTCTTCTTCTTCTTCTTCTCGACGTTATCAATCTTTCTCGACTGTTTTCTCTTTTTCTGTCGCTTGGTGCCTCGTCGTTTCGAAGTTCGTATCGTTAATTAAAGAGAACGAACAACAGGGCCATTCGAAAGCGAATGACGCGATCGCTCGCGGATCACGTGTGTAAACCAAGTCTCAAAATTATGGAGAGATTCCAGAAGTCTTGCCGGTTGCATCGTACCGATTTCTCGGGGCGAGGATGCTCGGGAAGCCTTTTCGACCGGACGAATCGTTATTATTGGTCGGGCGAGGTTGTAGGTCGCGATTATCCGTGGATCGATCGCGCCTCGCAACCGAACGGAACGGGGATCATCCCCTTTTCTTCCACGTCGTGTATCACCCTTCGCGCACTCCCATTGCGTATCGGCCGTCAAACGTTTTCGGACCCGTGCAGGCCAATTTTATCCATCCCTTCGTGTATTCTCAGGCTCCCCCAATGTTCCCCTTCGTCGACTCGCGTCTTCGGACTTTTCGGATACGCGTGTGAAACGTACGCGAATAGTTGGAACCACGTCTCGAATAAAGCGATCGCATCGTGCCAAGAGTAATCAGGATATATCATCGGTCGTTGCACTCTGCGATGTACGATTCGTTGCGATAGTTTAGCCGTGAACAGGCCTGCCGTAAACGAAAGTTCTCGCGCGAAATCTGCACGGTCAGCTTCGTCCAGCCGGAGACTGGTGTTTCTTCGAAAACTAATTCTTATCTACCCGTACACCTCGAAGGCGTTCTCTTCTCGATCGAACCAGCGAATCCGGTGGTGCAGGAACGCGAAACCCTCGGAGAACCAACGGGGTCAAGTTTTCCGCGTTTCTGTACGGGGAGCACGATGAAACTTTTAAACGGTCTCGCGTAATTTCGCCCCGCGTTACGATAGGACTTTCAGGTGTCCCCGGCCGTAATTCCCATAAATTTCCGCGAATTAATGGAGCGCGAGGGCAACAGGACCCGGAGAATAAGCAAATACGGGGAAACGTTTTCCAATGCGCAACGCGCCCAGCCACCTGCCACTGTTGTTCCCCGTAGATCGATTTTCGGAGTTTCGCGATGCAAGAGGGGTCCACCGTTACCTCGACGTTTAATGGAATGCCAGCTCGGCCGATAAGCTACGATATTAGATTCGATTTCGTTCGACCCCGTTTCTTTAAAATACTGCTCGCTTCGGTATTGTTAAATAGGGATGGGAGCAGAAGGAACGCGGACCAGGGATCGAATCAAGCGTGCGCGATTCATTTACCTGTTCTACTTACGAAGTCGCTCTCCGGTACTTCCTGTCCCCGTAATTCTCTCGGTAATCCAGATGATTCTACATGCGTATGCGGTTCTCTTTCAAACGTGTGTGCGAGCAATCGCAATTCGTTTTCGATAATCGAAATGGATTTTCATGTCCGCCGTTGCTAGTGTTTCACAGAAATTGTACGCGTCGCGCTCGCCCTCCGGCACCGCACTCGCGCGGACCGCTCATCATCGTCGTTATCGCTTAAAAACGTTAAATCCAATGCCTCGGAACGTATTGAAATATCGGTTCCGAGGCAACGAATTCGTTGCAATTAGTTGCAAACGATCGTATCGATGCCCCGCGTGTATTTACGAGCCTGGACTCTCCGTGCAGTATAGAAATCGTGGAACGATGCTGGTAAAGGTCGATCGACCATCGCTCTTGCGCGCGAGTTGGCTTCTCTCGCAACGATAATAATCAGCGGAATATTCGGTTCGAATCGAGTTACACGAACGAATACAACGCGCCGGGTACGCTTCGGTACTTTTCGACTATCCCGAGCTCGAGATACATATACTCCAACTTTTTCGGCTCCGAGCCCGCGGATGGGATGAGTGGGATTCAGCGGAGAGAACGCATCGTCTCGAAAACCACTGATTCATACAGCAGTGAAATAATCTATCTCATTCAGCTTTTCGACCTGAAAACGTCTACTTCGAACGAAGTCATTGATTTCAGATACGAGACGGGGTTATTTATAACGCACCTCCTCGCTATGAACCGTTCCACGAGCTTTTCTGCATATAGGTACATGTATATCCAGTACGCGTGTGTGTGTGTGTGTGTGTGTGTCACGAAAGAATGCGGATGCCGTGGGAGCTTCGTTATTTCCCTCCCGTGTGGACCCCAACCTTTTCGTTGTCGTATTATGTATCGTCGATTTTGTTTGCGGTCTACGTGCCGTGAATACAGTAGGAACGGCACAGCCGCGCGATACATTGCGCGCCTAAAAACCGTCTCGGACATGGAATCAACGATCGGAGAACGTGGAACATCGAGTTTCGTACGGCGTAAACTCTTTTTCACGTCGATTTCGTGTTTCCTTCGGCTGTGGCGATCAGTTTCTCGAGGAGACTCGATAGACGTCAAGAGAGAGCGAGATCGCTGTGTACGAAATTGGGAACGCGGGGGAGGAGTTAGACCTTTTCGATGGAGACTCGGTCGGAGGAATTAGAAAACGTACGGAAGTTTTGCGTTATCAAGGAATAATCGTCAGCCGGACGGAAAACTGTGTCGACGGCCTAAACGACCGAACGACCCGGTAAACTTTCCAAGTGGGACGAGAACGCGTCAAATGCTTTCTTTTCGATCGGTTCATGTCGTTAACGGAGCACGCCTCGACGGTTTACGTCCAAGACGGCGAAAGTTATCGTTTCGTCGTGGTTCACGGGGAATTCTCGTAAAACGTAAGCAACCGGTGGACACCTCATAGACATTTATCGGAATTGCATCTTTTAGTAGACGATTCCGGCACCATCGCTGGAATCGGGGATGCTGTGCCGTTTGCACACGGGTATCTCTGCCAAGAACGATCTGTTCGTTTCGCCATTCGTTCGAGCTCGCTTTGATATTCGCGGTTTTAACGACGGCCCATCAAAGTCGTTCGTTCGGGACAGTGATATACTATATTCGATTCGTTAACTCGGTGATCCACGCGGATCGCGTTAAATTATTGCTGCATGCGCTTCTTTCGGAACCGTTCGAATCCGCCCACGCTCGACCGCCGAATAACAAATTCCGTCGATCTCCTTCCGCGAAGCGAAACTGTAGATTCCACCCGTGCCCTCGGTTTTAGTACCATTTTATGAAGCACGGTTTTCTTGGAGACCTACTAACCCACATCCTTAAAATGCCAAATGTGACGGTTAACCCGTATGTAGACGGTTCTCGATATATCGATTCCGTTGGAGAAAATTTAAAAAATTGATTGCCCGGATCGCCTCGAAATATCATGGGAATATTAAGCATCGAGACGACCGCTTTCCGATCAAAGGAAGAACGATGCTGCATCTTCGTTTCGTACCCGGTGAAATTCGTCTTCGTTTAACGCATCGTACCCTTTCCTTCGCCACAGATGAAATCTAACGGTGGCGGAACGCGAGCGGATTAAATCGTCGACACAAATATACAAACGACGCGTAATCGATTTCGACTGGAAATTGGAAAACGAATTAACCTCTTGGTTTTTCTCCGTAAAATAATGCACGCACACGCATCACCCATTGGGTGCTGGTGTATTTACGCTACCGCGCGGTATCGCACGCGCATCCATTACCGTTTCGACTATCGACTATTCGTCTGGAAACAGTCGGACGGGGAAAAAGTAGGATATCTACGTAGAAACGCGTTATCAGAATGCTTAACCATGGAAAATGCAAATACGCGGCCATCGAGAAGAATTATGCGTTACTCTAAACGACACGGAACGGATGTCTCGCTCGTTCTACCGTCGACGCTAAACGATTCTACGTTCTCGTTCTTAAGCGATCCTCGAGCTTGCTTGCTTTCGTAGGGGAAGACGACGCGATTTAAACGAGACCGTGAAATTTCGACCGGTACCTACCGCACGTGCAACAGCGTTTCTAGCTGTCAATGTTGGTACAACAGCGAAACGGCAACGAAATCAAAGTCACCCGAGAGAGAAAGAGCACGGGCGTAAATTGCCCGTTCGTATTCAGCTCGATATTTTTGCATATAACGCGTAAACCAGTCACGGTCGACACGATAACGTATACGTCGATTATACGGAAATACTGAACGTAATGTACAGGCCCGATGAATATGCAAAACAAAAATAAACGAAAAGAAGGGAGGGGGGTAAGTTTGCCCGTTGAGGTTAATTTAAACGGCATAAATTCAACGGGCGCGCAGGGAGGACTCGATGAAAACGGGCGACGCGGAATTATTCGTAGGGCCCTGAATACGATGCAATATCGCAGTTTCCCTCGAGTTTCATAACGTCCGGACCCGAACAAACGACAAAGAACCGTTGGATAGCGAAATGTATGACGGCGATTTAAAACGATCGCGGTAAAAACCGCGAATGTCTGTCGAGCTAATTACTCGCTCGATTATTCAACGTGTTCCGTAAAAAGAGATACGCTGGTGTTTCCTTTTTAAACCCCGCCCCGCGAGTTTCAAGAATCTTTGGTCTCTTAGTTACACAAGCTTATTTTTCTTTTTATTTTTCTTTTTCATATGGCATTGTGCGAATCGCGTGCGAATCAGTGTTGTGTAATAAGGGCAACGATAATTCGGTAACTCGTCCCGTTGTTTGCGCAACTTGGACTGGTCCGACCTATATCCCACCTATACTACTCGCGACGGGGGAATCGGGTGAAATATCGTTCGCAAACGCATGGACACACTCGATCGTTACGGGTCGTGACGACCACACCGGGATCTATGGTTAGTCGAACTCACCTCTGTATCGTTCCACCACATGTGCAGTCGGTAGTTTCGTAGCACCGATGGATCCTCGTTGATGTGATCCACGGCGAGCTTCACGGACGGCATAACGCCGCGACCGACGTGGCTCTCGGGCACGTGGTTCCCGTACGGGAAGAATCCGGCGATGTAAACGTCCCGTCGCTTGACGCCGCCGAGATTGATCGGCTTTTGTCCGCCGCATCTCAAAATTCCGCACGTCCACACGAGAAGCCCGCACACGTACGCGGTCGCCAATAATCCCGGCCAGCATCGTCGCCGTTCAAGTTTCCCGGAAACGGTGTCCACCATCTCGAACACGTTCGTTCTCCAAGGCGTCGTCGGTATTTAAACGTTACCTGTCGATCGTCGATCGACACTTTTAATTGGCTTTGTTACCCGGTGCTCGGTTCGTTCGCGGTGGTAATCTTGCCAGGTCTGCTTCCTGTAATACTATCTCATTGTGCGGCCAGGTGTGCATTGGGAACGATCGCTGCTTAAATTTAAGCCCGTCGAGGTTTAATTGACTGTATCGAAATCAACGACGATTACGCTTCTCCGTTCATCTTGCTCGTGGTCGTTTTTTGCTTTCGTCCGATTAACGTCCGCGCGATCAACGCGCGACGACGACGCTTTCTAAACTCATCCCGCGAGCCATCCTCTCGTTTTTCAACGCTTTTTCCACCGTCTTCTTTATATATATATATATGTATATGTATATATATATAGGTATCTTGTTAACGAGGAAGATTTTGTTGTGCGCGGCTGTCGAAGCGCGCGACACGTTCAACGGGCTGGCAACAGAAATCGCCTAAACTTTGAAAATCGTAACAAACAACGTTCCTTCGGTGCGTAACGCCGCGACCCGCTGTTCGATTCGCTGTCGATCGGGAACAGCTCGTCCAACAACACCGATTCTCATCGCGCTTGGCCGCGCTTTCGCCGTCGGCCCTGGTTGTTCACCAAGCAACCGACAGATTTCGAGCTGGATCTGCAACAAAAATTCGTGACAGTTTGATTAGAGGAGAAATTGCAAACAGACGAGGTTCGGAGGTTCGAGCCTGTCGGAATAATTTCCGACCGGATTGCCTCGGCTCGGCTGAATGAGTGGGTGGGTGGGAAACTGGGAACGATTCGGCGCGCAACCCTTATAAGTAACGAAGACAAATTCTCGCTCGGTTCATTTTCGGGAAAGTCCCAAACGCGCGATTCGTTGGTTCTTGATTAACGACGAACAGGGCTGGTTAATCGGTAATTAAACCGGGCTTCGAGATCGACCGAGACAGGTCGTCGGGCTCTGATTCAGGATCGGGCCATGGTTCGTGTCCCGAGAGAATGCGTCTAGCTCGGTCGTTGGAAGTTAGCACACCAATTCCAATATGAAGCAGCCGGTTCTAGGGTTGCAATCACGACAGATGGAACGGTAGCAGAGCTAACATTGTGACTCCGAAGCCAAACAACTTGTGGTTCCCTCGTTCGGCTAAGTTTGTCGCCGGGAGGGGATCTCTTTGTACGGAACGAAAGGTACTTGCTTTCCCTGCTTCCTCCTATTCCCTCGCGAATCTCCAATCGAATCGTCGGGTAAATATGTGTTTTTCGAACGAGTAGTCGAAAGTTTTCGATCTTACCAGTGGATACCGAATGTGACAGGAGAATAAGAAAGCAGACATCTTCGAGACACACCGGAACCACCGTCTCTTATCCCAAGTACTGCAGCGTAGACTATCTTGGGCGTTCAATAATTTTCGAACTGGGTCGAACGATATCAATTTTGCGATTGGTTCCGCGCGTCGCGGCGGCTACACGAATAGAAATACGACTTTCCACGTTCCCCAGAGTTTCGCGATATTTCTTTCGTCGAATTATTTCAATCGTGACCGATCAATTTCAACTGTTCGAATTTTGCAAAAGTAGGGTGTGTTCTGTGTTCCCTTCTGAATTAAAGTTACACGAAGGGCGAGTGTCTATTCGATGGTTGCCGTCCCTCCGTCGGACAACGTGTTTTATCTCGTTCTCGCAACGCGGAGCACATTTAGATAAACCGCGCGCCGCACGAGCCATCGGTATCCGTTGAGAAAATGAGGAAAAGACACCGGCGGCAAAAGTAACGGCCCAACGGTTTCCGATTCGCCGTACGTTTCTACGTAATTTCAACGGGTTCCCGGCCGAGAGCGCACCACCGTTCATCGAGGTTATTAAGAAAGCTGTTTCGAAAGTGTTTCACCCGCCCGCGGTTAAGTAGCCATGATGAACTTTTTTCATTAGCGGTAAGTGGTGTTCGATGCGGCGCGCGCGGTCCTGGTCCGAGCGTTTATCGAGTAACGGTACTTATTACGAGCAGGCACCGTTTCTCCGACACAAAGCGTAGTCGTCGTCTTCGTCGTTGGATGTTTCGCGTGGATGCGCAAAGTGGTCGACGGTTTTCCACGCGGTAACGAGCAACGAAAAACAGCTCGTCTCTGCATTTGTCCGTGGAAATTGCGCCTGTTTCACCGAGACGAGCGATTACGGGCGAAACAACACACGCGACCAATCGACTCGTTACTTCGCGTCATTAATACGCAATAACGAAATTCTTGGGAGGAACACGATAGAATCCTGGCATTCCTCGACGCGGGACAGGGAAGACGGCCGAATATTCGAGGGTGAAACAGGTAAGAGGACTGGAACAGATAGTAGTTCGAGATCAGTTTGCTCGAGGCTCTCGTACTTGACCGGAACACTCGAGCCGATGAACTTCAGATGATCGTAAAGTTAAGTGTCCGGAACCTCTAAACCCTAAGTACCCAATTACAATAGCGGCAGCTGTCGATAACGTTCCCTTACAATGGACGACATCATCCGTTCCAAGAGACACTTGTTTCGGACGATAAGATATCGCGAATCCGCTGTATCGAAGGTTTACACAGTGTTATTCCGTATACGCGATACGCCCGGTCTCTTTCTCTGGTTCGTAGGACAATTCTACGGTTAACGTTATATTCGATTGTTCTGTCGAACGGAAACGTATAGCGATCGAGACTAAACTCGAAATTCCCGTGAACCGTATCGAGTGGGTTCTCTCCGGTGACTAATGCTGGTCGACTCGAGTTTCCAAGGTATTTTCCGCATGCGCTCCAAGTAATTAATCTTCGTCGGCACGGGAACCGTCAAAGAGGCGCATCAGCAAATTACGAATTATTTTCAGCGTGCACGGATCGACGACTCGCAAAAGCGGCCCAACCGCAGCAGCTTGCTTCGAAGATCGGGAGAAAAGTAAACTTTCGTTTGAAGGGATCGACACGGAGATAATTGGCCGTTTCTACACGCGTATCGAGAGTTCGTCGGCGATATTTTTCCGATTTCGGGGGGAGGGGGAACGATGGAACACAGAATGGTTCCATGGTAGCGTTAATCTATCGGTTACTGAGACGAACCAGAAGAGACGTTTCTTATCCTTTGCACTCGCTCATCGATCGACCGTGTGTGCGTTACCAAGCGTACGTATAGGTGTGCATGTGTAGGTCGGACAGGTTAGTTCTTGCGGTTGCGATGGTCAGACAGAGGAGAGCAGCGAGGGTAATTAGTAGCCGTTCTAGAGTTAATTACGTAAAGACATAATTAACGAACCAGACACTGGTCAATTGTAAATAATCTGGATCGTTCTCCCGGTTTCTCCGGTTCCGTTCTCGGTTCCACCACCACTTAGCCGGGGTTCTCTCTTATCTCTCGGCATTCTAGCTTCCGTCCTCGGTCGCCTATCCTGCTTGACTTAACAGCTTCTTTAAGAATTCATCCCACTCTTCCGTGCCCCTTTTTCATCTTCCTCGTTCTAGTCCCGCGGCGGTCTCACGTTCCTTTATTACTTTTTCTCTCTTTAAAGGCTCCCCCCCCCTCCCCTGCGCCTCCGCGATTTCTCGCCTCTTGTTCCTCTCGCGAAATTGACCGTCGTGGCCGAATTTTCCCTGCTCCGCCATCTCGTGCCACCTTCACATCCGCCGTCGCTTCAGCTCTCTCTTCTCCGCGTTCTCGAGGATCTTTCATGTTTTTTTTTTCCTTTCCATTTTTGGTCCGCGAGACTCCTTCACGTCCGCCGTTCTCTGAAGATTCTTAAAACCGAGTGTTTGAGCTAGAAGTGTCACGCGGGACGTCGTCGACGGCAACGACGACGACGACGACATTCGAGTCGAGCTTGCGCTCACTTTGATAATATACCGGAAGTTGAAAAATAAACACCCCTGTGTACGCGAGCTCGTGTAAACTTTTGCTATCTACCACTACTTTTTATTGTGTACCATATGGTTTACCCTTTTAATGAAATTATTATTATTATTATTATTATTATTATTAAAGTTTTGCAACTTTCTTCTGGTTGTTCTATTACGGGCCACAAGGTTGCCACTGATCAATCGATCCCTCGTGAAACGTTGAGGATATTATCTAGTGACCATTCGATTACAATTATGATATCGAGATCCCCTTCCAATCTCGGGAAAGTTGGCGAACGTTCGGGGTCACGGAGCCACACGTTGTTCGACCGGGGGTTAAACATCCTTGGGGGAGGAGGGACGTTATTCAAATAGCGCGAGTATCCGAAGAACTTTCGCGATCCCGGGGCAGATAACTTTGGTCTCTTCCCCGTAGCGAGTTAATACGTTTCGGTCGTCTCTTTTATCGCGGCCCGGGGCTCGTGTTTCACAACGTGCATCTCGTCCCATTCGGTTTCCGCGTAACCACGGGAAATGCTCGAGTTTTCTAACGTATTTCTTAAAAGGAATCCATCCCCCTGGAGGGTCTGAGTCTCGGAACATTCTGGTCTCTTCCGTCCGTTCCGTTCGAATCAGAGACGACGAAACTAACATCGTCCACAAGTAACACCGCACTAACTCTAGTAACGCGGGAAGCCCATTTCACTGGGACCAATCAGTTCTCGATACTTTTAATCCCGAGCTCAATGTTGCCCCGTCTGCGACCTACAACAGCAAGGCCCCCGTTGCCTGGCAAGTTTCTCGGAATTGTCTCCTTCTTCGGCCGTTTCGTCGTCGAGCTAGCAGCCTGTTACCGTTCCGCGGTTACCTCTGGGGAGGTCCATCTTGCGGGCACACCAGTCGTTCGGAAGTTTGCGGACATATTGTTCGCGAAACTAATGTCAGCCGTGGTTTCGCCAGGTGCTATTCAGGGACATCGACTGCTCGTTTAGCGGCTAAGAGGTGGGAGCACACAGATAGAACTAGCGGGGGAAATCGGTAGGCTCGTTAGTCCGAATCGTTAGTCCAGCATTGGTCGGGCATGTCCAGGAAAACCACCGGTTCACACAGGCAATGCTCGGAGAA